TGGAAAAGCATATATTCTTCCTAATTTAGTAATATATTATAAAAATCTGAAAAGCTTTCACAATAAGCACAGAAATATGTAAATTTACGCAAACTGTAAATTGAAAAGGAAATAGTTCAAAGCACTAACAATAACTGGAAAGGCCCTGAGAAATAACAGGAACATAAAGATCACATTAATGAGGTTTTAGGTTCCATTAACTGGAGTTCTCACCTCCTCCAAAATGCTCTATATCACAGCATCTTTTTCATGCTTATTTCAACAAGCAAATGAATATTAAGAGTAATTTTCTGATTTAAACTTAATGAGCTAATTTTCAAAATGAAAATATTCTAAAAATCAATATTGTGGATATTCTGGAAATACATTCACATTTTTGTTGAAATTTGTATGCAATGCTTTTTCTAGAAAAAAAAGTAAACATGTATACATATTAACTATGGAGACCACATGGTATAAGGGACAGATAGATAGCTGGTCTTGAAGCCAGTAAGACCTGGGTTAAAGCCCTGACTCTGATACATACTGGGATGTGTAACCCTGGGCAAGTCATTTAACTTCTCAGTAAGCAAGCTTTAGGATTACTCTTTATGATTACAAATTGCAGAGGAGGATAGATCTATACATCCATTGGAGGGAGTTTCCTCTCCCAGAAGTTCCCTATACCAACTAAATCACAAGTGCAGTACCTAACCCTACATATTAATCAACTGACCCATTTAGTTAGTAAAAATAAGTTCACAAAAGCAATCACACTAATAAGAACCCAAGAAGAAGCTCTCATTATTTTTAAATAATTTAAAATCAAGTCAAAAGGAATATCTGCTATCAAACTCATCATACATTAAAATCTAATAAGTGCAATGTAACCTTGAAGTAAAGCTATGTCCCACAAAATGATATCCTGACTAATGTGTATAAGGCATTACAATCAAAGCCTAATAGAACATCCCAAATATATACATTTAAATATCTTCAGGCTACCCATCCCTCTGTTCTATTCACTCAATACCTCTTGTATTTCTCTTGGATCCACTTATGGGAGGATCTGCCACAGACTGAAGCTGGAAAAAATCCACTTCCAAATCAATTCCACAAGCATGTATTAAACATCTGTTATGTGCCAAGCACCGTGCTAGATAAAGTCCTAGGTGCCTCAAGGTTCTTACATTCCACTGGTAGAAATAACATGTACAAATAAACACAATGCATATACAAAATAATAGGGAGAAACGGGAAGCTAGCAAATGGGATTAGGTTAGGCTTCTTGTAGAGTTTCCAACTTGAGGTACATATATATCACCAGGGAGTACAAGAAACTTGTCTAGGCAGAACAGAACATATGGTAAATAATGATATTGTCCTATTGAAATGAACTCATGTATTTTCTTTCTTAGATGCCCATGTATGGCAAACTCTAGAATTTTTCTTCCTTTCATATTAAAAGGAGGCACAAAAATATTAAGGGAAACTACAACTGAAAGAGGAAGCACTTGTACCTAGGACGGAAGGAAGTTATATATTTTACTAGAGGCATAGGTGGGAAGAGAGTTCTTTCCAGGGATGCGGAAAACCTGTGCAAAGAGTCAGAGACAGAAATAGCAGAACCTAAAGACACCTGTGTAGCGAAATGAAAAAAGATTTGGGTTGCAAAGTTCCCACTAACAGAGCAGCCAGAAGTCTTAGACTGGTAATGACAAACCAGAATCAATAGTCAAGCATATGGAGAGGAAAGCTAAGTGCACAAGCAGAGGTGGTATCAACACTAAAAGCAGGTATCAATGCCAAGATCCAGAGTTCAAGGGTCACTTGAAGACATGTGGCCAAGGAATCGGGGTGAAGACTTCAATTCAGGAACAACAAAAAGAATCTGATTCCACACAGTTTGCCACACGAAGTTTCCTAGGAGGTTATGGGAACTAATGAGGCTGGCCCTACCTTCCAGCATCCTATAACTGAGCTACAGCTGACTAGCTTCCTCCACCACATCCACCTCTACCTCCACCACTATCATCACCACCACCACCACCACCTACAGCATTACAGTTGAAGGAAATGGCTGTCTCTTAATGGAAAGGGGCAGATCCTCCCCTCAATGGCTCTGACTCCATTCAGTTCTATTACAGTAGAACTGCTTCCTACTGTATTTTTATTGTTATTGTTGTTATTTGTGGTTGTTTTGCCTAACATCATGTTTTTGTGGATCTAATTAATGACACTGGCAAGGTACACCTGTATGTACTATATTTACATGCTACATTCTTTTTCTACTAAGTTCTATTTCATTTTGGTTCCAAAAAGTGGAAATGATGTTTGATTTCCAGTTACTATATCAGTCTTGCATATGACTAAGTGAAATGGCCAATTAATAAATGCAAAAAAAGAAAATAGCTCATTTCCATAAAGAATAAGCAATCCACAAAATGAAGACAGAAATGTATATGAGGAAACCCCCAGAGAGCTACAGAGAATTTTGGATTTGGAGCTAGCAGACTCAAATTCAAATCCTGGTTTTGCCAACTTAATACCTTGATTGATCTAGGTCCTCAGTTTCATTAGCAAAATGAAGGACTTCCAAGTTTTAATTCTTGCTCTTTGGATTCCATAATCAAACCTCTGGCAACACATAATATTCCCTATGTTCTGATTCACAGTTCTGTGCACCAGAATTTTAAATAAGAATGCTTAACTTTTTTATAGCCTGGCAAAAAAAAAAAGGCAAGTTCTGAAGTTTTATCACTAAGCCTTTAATACATTTATTATTATTTTATATATGAATATATCAATGCATATATATGTATGTATGTATGTAATACCATATGATTGCCTCCTACCTCTTTTTTTTTAATACTAGCTTTGTGACCAGAGGAAAGGGAAAAATTAGTCACAAAACACAAAATGCAAAATTTTCTTATTTAACTTTCCAAGTTAATGTATGGAAACTATTAATGCACATAAAGTAACTATTTCATGATTCCTCATTTATAAATAAAATTAAATCACATCCACTTGAATAGTTCCATTCTATAGGGCACAGAAATAAAATCAGCTTTTCCCTGGATTCTGTCATTCCCTAGTAGTAAGATAAGGACTTAATCCAATTTGTAAAGCTAAATTTGAACCAGAAGGCTAGATTTATGTGAAAAATATTCACCTATTTTAGTGTTTGAAAAATAATATACCTGGTGAAAATATCATAGATAACGAGGGTAGTCTAGGCTTACATAAGTGTCTAACTTGCTAATGAAAAGTGACTTGGACAATGGAGAAATTCTCTGTATTTTACTACTTCAGTTTTCACTGGTATTTATGTTGCCCAAATTAGTTTCACTGGCAAGTTTAATTAGTATGCTATTCATCATCTCTCTCTCTGATCATTAGAGTTGTGAAATAACCCTGGACAAAACACTGATCTCAGCAGTACCCTACTATAAAGTCTATCCTTTGAAGATAATTTATTTAAATTATATCCCTAATGTGATTACCAATAGATTCTATGAAGTCAAACGCAATGTTTTTTGTCTAGTTGACCTGAATGCTAGTAACAATAAAAAAGTGACATTTTTATTTTTTTAAATATGAGGCAGCCAAAAGACACACTGAGTTTGAAAGTCATATCACAAGGTTACTTTGTAGTATAGTAAATGTCAAACTATACACATCACCTGCCACCCTGCCCACGGAAGTTTCTAACATAGTAATAAAATGGAAAACCGTTTAGTTTAATAATAATAATAAAAACAACTTCAGTTGGTGAATATTATATGTAGCATCTTGCCATGGTTGCTTAGCAACCAGTGGTGAATGAACTCCACAGAGGATGGAAACCCAAAATGAATGTACAGTATGTGCAAGTTTCAAGGACCTGAAGAAAAGTGTCAGTAGTTAATCTAAATCCCAGTTGACAATTACCATACCCAAGTGAGGGAAGGGGAAATCCATCAAGTCTTAACAATAACTAAGCACTAACAGTATACTAGGACCATAAAAGTGGATGAGATCTTGGTGCTGTGGGATTAACAACCTAAATTTGACAACCACTATATTGCTATGAAGGCACTAGTTTTGCGCAAAAAAAAAAAAGTGACAGCATGATTTGCAAATCACACAACCTTCACAAAAATATAGTAGATGTCTTATATGCCACATCCCCTTATTAAGAAGGATTGCGCCATACTTCAAGTCAAATCATGTCCTCCCTAAACATAAAAGCTATATGTAGTAAAAAGTGTTTAGTAAATGAAGGTGGGTATTAGTCCTGTGCCCCCAAACACTACCATTATAAAAAAAAAAGTGACAGTGTATCTGTCATCAAGTCATCAGGGTCTTATGGTTGAGCTAATTTTGATGTCTTTCTCAATCTTTGTCAAGTCTTGGCTAGTTCTATCTACCTATTTTAGTCTAAATTGATCATCTAATTTAGTAGTCTTTAATAAATTTAAAGACTATTCTACAGTGCTAGGATATCAGAAATAACATTAAAGACTAAGGAATTAAAAGCATAAAGATTGCTTAAAATTGAATGGCAACAGCAAAGGAAAAAAAATGGACTTTGCTATCATGATGCAGCTGCTCTCTCACTCTGGACCTTCCCTCAACCCTTCGAGTCTTCTCACCCTGAAATAACCCACTGCCTCCCTGGTCTCTTCTCCTACTGAGTCCACCCTGTCCCAATCTCTATTTCGGGGACAGGTCTAGGTTGCCCAAGCTTCATTCCCTTCCTGGTTCTCTTGGGTATTCCCCTTACACCCTTGTGCTCCCTTCTGCATGATGTCTTTCCCCCCATGAGAATATAAGCTCCTTGAGGGCAGGAACTATCTTTTGCTTGTATTTGTATCTCCAGCACATAGAACAGTGACTGGCACATAGCGTTTAATAAATGCTTGTTCTCTTGCTTTAAATTTTTGAGACTCCCCATTACTTGAGAAGTCAAAAGGTTTTAACCCACTTTAAATAAATCTCTCTTATCAGCACAACAAGGCAGTATTTTTTTTCATTACCTGAGGTGATTAAGAAGAGGCTGTAGTCGCTCATCAGATTGCACAGATGGAAGTGACCTTGCTGTTAACTACAAGAAAATAAAATTTTTTATCAGAAATATTAGCAAATATAAGTGAAATCAGTTAACTTATTTCAATATCTAAATGCAAAAGCAAATATATGTGTGTGTGTATGTGTATATATATACATACACACACACACATATATATACTATACATACATATACATATATATTTCTCTTTGTCAGGGAAGGAGAACCATATTTCAAAAATAGGATGGAAAATAACTGACTATACCTGCAGTTGCTCAATTCTCTCATTAACTCCAAAAATAAGTAAACATGCAAAACTGAAAAGCTAAATATACAAGTATTAATCCCACTTTTTCAGAAATCCACAATAGGAAGAATTTGGTTTCTAAATTGATAATGGGTAGGCAAATTTCTGTCTGGTTAATTCAGTTCAATTAGAAAAAAGACATTAAATACCTACTATATTCAATACCTTGTAACTAGGTATTAGTGACATAAAGATAAATCCAAAACCAGTTCTCACCCTCAAAGAGCTTACATTACATTCTACCAGGGAGAAGGAAACATGTATAAGGACAATTAAATATGCTATTTGAGTTGACAGCATGACATGAATTCAAAATGACAGCATTGCATGATGAATAGAGAGCCAGCCCTGAAGCCAGGAACCCCTGGGTTCAAGTCCTATCAATGTTAGTTATCATAGGTTCATTCTCTCCCTATCTGGATTTTACGAGGGCAGAGGAAGCACAAAAACACAAACATGAGGAGGATGAAGATCATTACAGAAGGTAGCACCTAAAATAAGACTTGAAAGTATCTAAGGATTCTTAGAGTCAAAGGAGAGAAGAGAAAGCACTCCAAGCTGGAGAACAGCCTGCCTATACTTGGGAAAGGAATGTGTGACAGAAGCAAAGTTTGAGAACAGTAAGCAGGCCCATTTGGCAGGAACAAAGTATGTCAAGGGAAGCAATGCAACCATGTGGAACAAGTCTGAAATGGGAAGATGGAGTTTGTCTATGAAGGGCTTTAAATGCCAGATTGAAATTTGTGAATATTAAGTTTAGTAAGACTTATGATGACCAAATATACAGCAGCGAAACCTAGATCAATATTAAGAAATTTTTTTAAAGTTTTTTACCTTAGAGTTAAATCAACACAAAATAGTTTCCACATACAGAAAACAAAGAAAGCAATAGCCTTTAATTCTGACAACTATGTTTTCATAAGAATCTACTAAACTGTAAAAAGTAGCCTGCTCAAATTTATTCATAATATTGAACTACAAATTTCATTTAAACTATGTAATAGTAATTCCCAAACTTCTTCATCCTTTCTTTCTGACCAAAGTCTTTCTGACCAATCTTTGGACCCAAGATTTCCCGAAATGAAATGTGGAGCTTTATAATTCCCATATTACCAAAAGGGAAAGAGATAAATAATCAGGTTAACTGTGACAGTGTAGTGTCATGGAAAGAATGCTGAATTTGGCATTAGAGGGACTGGGTTGCAATCCTGGACCTTCCATTTAGTCTCTGGGTGACTGTGGGTGAGTTACTTATCTTCTCTGGGTCTGTAAATTGAAGGAGTTGGACTGGATGACCTCTGTGGTCTCTTCAAGCTCTAAATCTATGATCCTGAGACTGCCCATAAACAACACTCTAGAAACTGGCTGTTCCAAGGTTTTGTTTCCTGCGCATAGCCTTGCTGTGTAAAATGTACCCCTGTTTGCTCACGATAGCAAACCAAAGATCACCATGGGCAGTCTGGCAGCTTTTGGAGAACCAGGGTATGGGTTGTTTGGGGAAGGGCAACGCAAAACAGGCTAGGCAGAAGTACAGGTTTGTCAGGTATAAGCTCAGAAGTCATGATCCTCATCACCTTGCCAATCCAATCAGTAGTAAAATGGGAGCCAGAGCTAGAGGAAAGATGTTCTAACAAGGGTGTGTCAAACTGCACTGGGGGAAAGAAAAGACTACTCTGAAGCAATGCTCTGTGTCAATTCTGAGAAAATTCCAGAGGCAGGGAAGAAAAGGAGCAAGGCTCAGAGAGGGTGACACTGGCTGGGGGCATACCCACAGAGAAGTCAATGAACTAATGTAGGCCAAGTGGAAGAACTGAAAGAAAGAGACATCCTTAAACAGGTACTAGAGCTCTACAGTAAAGAGGTGTGACCACCGGCCAGAATACAGTAGACTCTCATTACCAGGGCCAGCTGTAGGTCTAACCTCAAAATGTGATGGAGAGGCAGCTAGGTGGCGCAGTGGATAGAGCACCAGCCCTGGAGTCAGGAGGATCTGAGTTCAAATCTGACCTCAGACACATGACACTTACTAGCTGTGTGACCCTGGGCAAGTCACTTAACCCCATTGCTTAGTCTAAAATTGAAAAAAAAATTAAATTAAATTTTAAAAAAGCTGATGGGTATATGAGTTAAGAGAAGTTGCTAGCCAGCAACAGTAGAAAATAATGCAAAGAACGGCAGAAAATAGGCCAGAATTGATGCTAGCAAAGAACAGACACACCTTGCAAGCAAGACAACAGCAGTCTTCCTAGGAGTAGCTGAGTCTTTTCTAGGACCTCAGTGTGGTAACACTCTTAAAGCTTAGAATGAAAACAACACTGAGAAGCACATTGTAAACTCTTTGGGACTTGGGTTCATAGATTCTAGGATTTAGAGCTACTAGGGGCCTTAAAGATCATATAGTCCAGGAGTTCTGGGTTCTGTTAAAAATCTTGATAACTGTATTTCAATATAAATGCTTTCTTTTGGAATTCTATGTATTTTGTTTTCTGCCTTTGAAAACACTGTACTGAGAAAGGACCCATAGTCTTCACCAGACTGCCAAAGAGGTCCATGACAAACCTCTGCTCTAGTCCAACTCTATCATTTTACAAATGAGGACACTGAGACCCTGAGACAGTAATACCAAGCTATACAATAAGATTCCTAAACAAATCACCTTGGGGTGGAAGAAATAAAATAAAAATATTTATTCTCTTTATATCTAATCTTTACATACTTATTTTTGTCCTTGTCTTTCCCTTTAGAAATTAAAGTCTTTGTGAGTAGGTGGTGTTTCATTCATTATCTTTATATCCCCAGCACTTAGCACAGTGATTGGCACATAATAGGCACTTTTAAAAGCTTGTTGATTGGTCCTCACTAGTATAACAACTTGTATTTGTTTAGATCTTTCAAGTTTACAAAGCTCTTTCCTTACAGAGATGTGCTAGAGCCAGCTCTAACCAGCTTGCAAGAGCCATTGTTAAATTTTCAGTGTAAGCATTTATACTTCAGAAATTGGTAATTGTTAGAAATCTAGGCTGAATTTGCTGTTTTGTTGACTGTCTAGACTCAATAAAGTATTAATAATTCAGATTTAAAAGGTCGTGTGCACACTTTTGCACACTTTTTTTTTTCTGGAAAGCCTTGTTAAATATTCACCTGCATATCCCTCTATTATAAACACTATATAAGCTCAGCAGAAACATCATAGAAGACTCAGAGAATGAAAATATCCCCAGAGTGGAGACCAGGTGACTAGAGAACAGTAACTGTAAATAATAATGATAACAATGACAACAACCAGTGCTTTAAGGTTTGCAAAGTGCTTTGCACCCATCATGTCATTTGAGCCTCACAACACCCCTGCTTACAATCACTCTATGAGGAAAGTAGTACAAATATTTTTATTTGCATGCAACAGAAAAAGAAACCAAGAACGACAAAAGGTGACTTGCCCAAAGTAAGAAACAGTATGTGGCCAAGAGAGCATCCAAATTCTACTACAGAGATCTTTCTAACACACTATTTAGCAATAGCAATCGATTATATTTAAAATGGGACTATCACCTGGCTGGGTAATCAAGTGGCTAGGTTACAAACTTTATTTCAGAACCTGTCAATATAACTTCATAGCTGACTTAATTCCTGTAAGCACAAAGAGTTAAAAATCATGGGATCACAGATTTAGAACTGGAAGAGACCTCAGAGGTCAACCCTCTCATAGTACAGATGGGGAAACTGAGGCCTAGAAAGGTTAAATGACTTGCCCTAGGTTACAAAGGTTAAGTGGAAGGTGCAGTGACAGAGTCTAAGATATATGACTCTAAATGAAGAGCTTTTCTCATAAAATAACAATGACAGTGAATATTTTCATGGCACTTTAAAGTTTGCAAAGTTATTTACATGTTTTTTCTCATCAGTGTATATGAGTTACCCTTAGAGACATGAATTTTCCATTGTACATTCTCGAGAACAAATTAAACCAGTCAAATCAACACTTTAGCATGAAGTATTCTAACCTGTCTATTCTAAAAACTAAATCTAGGTTAAAGTACAGCAAAAATTATTAGCTTTCCATTCATTCATTCCTCTGTATGATGACAATATTATCAACCTAAAAAACTTTCTTCGATAAAACCACATATCTCTTTTCTTTAATTTTTTTAATTTAATACTACATTTTAAAGCCAAGAGAACGTCTTGAAAAATTAATCAGTCAGGAATGGAGAGAACAGAAAAGACCTATCACAACTTACATCTCTGAAGCTGAAATAGGTTTGTGATGTTGGGTTTTTTTTTTAAATGGAAATAAAACTTGACATGACTGATTGTTTATTTCTTATTATTGTCAAAAGGTCAGATAGGTCATTAAGAGGTCCTCCCAACATTCTGGAATCATTATCAATACACATTAAGAGTAGGGAGGGGGGAGAGTTATACAGGCATGATGACCCTTTCGAAGTTAAAAATAATCTCATTTTAGAAATTAAATTTTCTAAATTTCTTCTGCATTTGGTTCTTCTCTGATGCAAATTAATAATATGCTATTAGTACTATGTTAGCTTCCTTCAAAAAAAAACTGCAATGGCTATAAATGTCTCAAAGCTTTCAGTAAACAGTACTACTCGGGATAAAACTGTACAGAATAAATGAATTACTCTTACTTCTTTCACCCTAATAACGTGAGTTCATGATCCCACATGCCTCTGACACCTTTTCTTTGTTAGTACTTTCCCAAATCTGTTGC